CAGAGCCCCGTTAACCCCTGGGGTCCCCCCCAGCCCCATAGAAGGGGTGTGGGCTCCCCGAGGGGTTCCCAAAGTGAGACAAATCCACCACTAAGTGCTTTTTTTGTTTTTTTACTCCACTTTACTCTCTCCACCTGGTCCTGGTGATCCCGCGGGAGGGAGCGGAGTAATTAAACCAGGAAAGGGAGGCAGGAAGAGGAGGAGGAGGAGGAGGAAGAGGCTGGAAGGGGCCGAGGAGGCACCAGGCTCCATCCTGCCTCCTCTGCATCGCTCTTACAGGACGAGGACGAGGGGTGAAATACCCCTCGAGGGGTGAAAATCCCGGGAGTGGGGGGGGTGGGGGGTTTGGGGGGGGGTTTCTCTTCCTTCCTCAGAGCAAACCCACATATTTTCTGAGCCTGCACCCCCAGGTTAAGGCCGAGGACCCGCGTTGGGTCTCTCTGCCCACAGCTCAGCTCTTTGGTGCTTTAGCAGAGGGGGGGTCAGCCTGGGCTCCAGCTCCACCAGCCCCCCCCCATTGCATACCTTACCCCTCCCAGGGCTCGGGAGCCTTTTCTGGCCGGGATTTTTAGTGTCTGGCATTAAATCAGCGCAGACAAACGGCCTCACCCGGGAGCCCGGGCTCCTCTCCCCTTGTGCTCGCTGGGCAATATGGCTTTTACTCCGGTGGCCGCGTAACCCACGGGGCCAAACGCTGGCGCCTGACACAGGCGGATCAGGAAAAAAAAAATAAAAATAAACTTACTTTTTGCAGGTTAAAAAAGCTTTTCTAGACGGAGAAGCCGCTCGCTGAGTCGCTCAGAAGCAGCTTGCTCAGGCTGGGGGGGGTCACACGGGCATCGGCGCTGCGGTGCCCGGGGGTGAAGGGCACTTGGGGTGGTCCCCTCGGGGGGATATTGCAGTTGTGGCAGGAGCGGGGGGCTGCCAAAGCACCCGGGGACTCGCCCGCCCCCGGAGAACACTGCTCGGTAAGGAGGCACTCGCATCACTTACTGATCTGTCTATACATATATACATTCAATAATATATATATAGCTTTGAAAAATAGACATTTGTTTCCTCTGTATATTATAAAATAGCATTTAGGATCAGTCTGAAGCGGCGTGTGGGGGGGGGGATTTAAGGCACAGCTGCAATTTGGGCTGCGGAAGAGCGAGGATTCCCTTTCGCCTCCAGCCCCCGGCGCTGCCACGGGAAGCTTTGAGCCTCCTCGGGGAGGGGGGGACATCGAGGGGGGGGGCCAGCATCGCCTTCCACCCGGGCTGAGCCGCATCCCCCAGCCCCACCGCCCATCCCCACTAGTGCACGTGCCGATGGCCGCGGCGTCACCCTCTCGTGGAGGCTCCCGGAGGAAAACGCTGCGGCCACCGGGTCCTTCCCCACCTTCACACCGTGGTCTCGCTCTTCCAGAGCCCGGTCTTCATGCCGGCCCCGCCGTCGGCGCTGGCCAGGTTGATGTCGTACTTGCTGCCCTTGAGGCCGCCGTTGTGGCTGGCCACGTTGAGGGGGTAGGAGCGGCGCTTGGCCTCCTTCTCGGCGGCGCTGGGCCGCAGGTTGTCCCTGCTGGCGCTCCTCCGGCGACCCTCGGCGAAGTCGGGCGCCCGCCGGCCGCCGTCGCTGCCCTCCGAGTGGCTGGGGGCCGTCTCCCCGTCCTGGGGGGGCCGCGGTCCCAGGCGGCCGCTGCCGAGGGGGCTGTTCCTGCCGCTGTGGTAGCTCTCGGAGTGGCTGTTGTGGAGGCTCCCGCTCTCGCTGGAGGGATGCTGCTCCGAGGAGGGACCCCGCAGCATTTTCAAGCGGTGGTGCTTCCCCTCCCGGCACGGCTTAGTTCTGCCCCGGTGGTTGCGGCGGCCGTGGAGGTTGCTGGCGTGTCTGCTGGCACCCGCCGTCTTGCCGTCGGTGGGGTCGGGCTCCGGGCGAGCGTCCGCCTGGCTCTGGGCTACCTGCAGGTTGGTGAGCTTGCAGCGGCCCCCGGCCGAGCCGGCGCTGCTGGGCGAGGAGGAGGAGGAGGCCCCGGAGCGAGCCGCCTCCGGGTCGCAGCCGATGAAGACCTGGGAGCCGTCCTCTGGCGCCAGCCCGGGGTGGACGTACGCCTGCATGGGCAGCGCGTTCCTGTAGGAAGGGCAGCAGGAGAACCAGGAGTTGAGGACGTCCCGGCGCCGGACGCAGTGGTGGACGAAGATGAAGAGTCCCAGGGCCACGGCGGTGATGCCGTAGAGGCAGCTGAAGACCACGTTGAGGTACCAGCGCTGGGACACGGCCATGGCCCCGAAGGTCCACAGGGCGACGTACAAGGCGTGGGTGGTCACCAGCGCCCAGAACTGCACCCGCAGGGAGTAGACACCATCCGCCTCGGGGCAGGGCGGCCCCGAGTTCAGCGTGACCGAGATGGACCCCGAGTCCGTGAGGAGGTCCCCGGCACCCCCCAGCCGTGGTGGCACCTCCAGGGGTTCAGGGGCGTCTTTCCGGCGCGAGGGTCGGCACTGGAGGCTGAGCCCGGCGCAGAGGAAGTAAATCCAGGTGACGAGCAAGATGAAAGCCACAGGGACGTAGAAGGCCCCCAGGCTGGGCCGCCACACCAGCCAGCAGCTGTACGGGAGGAAAAGGGGCTCTGAGGAGCAGATCTGGGTGCCACACGGCCAGCGTGGCACCGTGATGCCTGGCATCCCTGCCCCAAAGGGACGGAGACGGGCTCGGTGCAGCCTGGCTGCTGTTTTCCCAACATATGGACTGCTCTCGGGAAAGGTCTCACCAGGATTTCCCGAGGTTGCCCGGATTCTGCAGGGGGGCAGCCCGTTGGAGGAGGAGGAGGAGGAGGGATGCTGGCGCGGGGGACACTTACTAGGGGTTGTTGTCGTGGTAGTTGTGGATGTTGACAGCCGCCGTGATGCCGCAGATGATGAGGGGGATCCCACCAGCAATCAGGTAGAACCTGCAGGGGGGGGACACACGGTGTCACCACGAGCCCAGGGGACAGCATGGCACGGCTACAGGTGGGATGGGCTCGTATGGCAGGGCAAGTCCTGGCCCAGCCTCTGGATGTGGGGTAAGGAAAGATTCTCCAGCTCCTGTGGGGCTGGGGTGAGGGGAAGGGGGTCCGTACCGCAGCATGGGTCTGGGGGCCGGCTGGGACGTGTCCCCATCGGGCTGCCGTGGCGTCTTCCAGGTCGCCTCCTTATAGAGGACTCTGGCTTTCACCGCCATCCACAGCAGCGTGGAGAGGGAGGAGTAGTGCAAGATGATGCCCACCTGTGGGAGAGAGGCCATGGGTGGGAACGAGGGGGGCTGCAGACAAGGCTGCATCCCCACCGGTAACCGTCCTGGGGTCCCCTGTCCCCCCCCCAGTACCCACCGCTTGGCAGACGATCAGGTACCCGGTGAGGGTGATGCCTCCCGCGAAGACGGCGGCCGTCATGGCGATGTGGAAGCAGAGGTTCAGCAGCATGTGCCAGCCCTTCCGCGGGATGAGAATGGTGCTGGAAGAGGCACAACGGGCACCCGTGAGCTCCTGCCTGGTCAGGGACGGACACTGAACACCCCCAGCCTCTCCTCAGAAGACTTCTCGTAGCTGCTGGCAGCGCGTCCCTCTCCGGGCTGTCACCAGGGAGCCACTGGCGCTGGGACACGGAGATGGGGACCTGGCTCTGGCTGTTCCTGCCTCGGGCTGGGCAGCATCACGGTTCCACCCTGAGACGTGGGGGGAGAGAGCTGCCAAGATTCGCTGGTGTTTGCTTCACTGGGAGCAACAGGAAGGGCTTGGCCTTAGAGTTATCAAAATAACCGCTTGTTCAGCGTTGGAGATTATTATTATTATTGGGTTCTTCCAGCCAGGCAGTAGTTAGATGTGGACTGATGGTGTTTCTTGGCTTTAGCTGTTAACACTGGTTTCATTTGTAACAAATTGAATGGCTTGGCCTCATATGTACCTCATTAAGTACTGATAAGTATTTGATGTAATAATCACTGCCGGGCTC